CTTTCCCTCTGTCTCTTTCTTTGGTCAAATTAAAAGGTGAATAAAATAAATAATTATGAAAATTTTATAAGAGTGAAGAAGAAAGTGGTAGGAGATAAGATTCAAATAGTCAGAGGTCAGGTCAGACAGGACTTTAAATGTCACTAGGAGACATTTGATTGTAATCTAAGTCCAATAGGAAATCTTAGGATTTCAAGAGGGCAGTAAAGAAATTTGTTGTATTTTTTTTTCTTTTTTACTCTTCTTTTTCTTTGAGAGAAATTGTTGCTATAGGGCACATACACTCACCAGAGAGACAGAGACAGAATATGAGAAATCACCCCCCAGGGTGACCACACCTCAATCCCTTCTCCTCTGGTCACCTTTCAGGATTTTGGGCACATACGTACGCACACTCAGTGTGAGTTTTAAGCTACCAGGTCCGGGACTCAAACCGCAGTTGACTACATTGGAGTCCAACAATGTCACCATTACGCCATCTGCTGGTTCCAGAAATCTGTTGTGTATTTTAAAATACCCCTCTGTCATGTGGAGGATGGACTAGAAGTAAGAGTGGAGCTGGGGACACCAGAAGGAAGCTATTGCAAGATTCCAGTCTTAGACTAGGACGGTAAGGATGGAGGTGGTACAAAGTGTTCAGAAGGAACATTTGAAGGAAAACTTTGCCAGGACTCATTAATTAACTAGAAAACTACAAAACAAAATAGGGTTGGGTGGGAACTGGGATAGAGAGTTTTACCTGGGCCATTTTGAGTATAAGATACTTACTAGACACACAAGTGAAAAAGCTAAGTAGGCAGTTGGCTCTCCAAATCTGGAGCCAACTGAGAAATCACTGCTAGAGATAGTCGGTTGAAGTCATCAGCATACACGTAGCATTTGAAGCCGTGAGACTGCGTGGCTATTAAAGATGTGCTTCCCTCCTCACTTGATCTGACAGAAAGTTAGGAAACCCTAGCCTGGAGACCGAAGGAGGCATCCAAAGTCATTACCACTGGTCTTTGTAAGCTGAGAGCGAGGCAGGGCTAAGGACAAACCTGGCCCAGGGAGCACTTGCAGAGAAATGGTGTCAGAGAAACTTAAGACTTGGAAGGAGGGCTGAAGGACTTCCATCTCTCTCTCTCTCCCCCACCTCCCACAAGTCACTGTTAGTAAAATTAATTCAGGAGGAGGAGGATGTCTACTCAGTAGGACGAGCAATGGGAGCCCTAGTGAAGACCTGAGGGGCAAATGTGGGGCTTACTGTGGCTATGCAGCTGCCTCCTCACCCCCACTCCCACCCCTGCAAGAGTCAAAGCTCCTAGAATTGGCATTTAAAAATAAATAAATAATAACAATAACAACAACAACAACAAAACTACCCACAGGACTGGCGCATAGGGCAGCAGTTAAACACAGCTTATCAGGAACCAAATCCCACAGGGCTGACCCAGTTCAAACCCTGACCCCGGTGGCTCGAAAAACACGATGGGTACATGTGGTGCTTGACGGGATGGAGAAACAGAGAAAAAGGGATTGTGGCACAACTGTACCCCATGGGGGTGCTTCCTCTCTCTCTCTTTCCCACTTTGTCCTGGTAAGCGCATACACCCTCTGGCGATTAAGGAAAAAAGGAAAAAGAACACCCCTAGGGTTAAGCTACCTGTCCTGGTAAGCGCATACACCCTCTGCCGATTAAGGAAAAAGAACACCCCTAGGGTTAAGCTACTCCAGGAGGAGGTCTGGGCTTCAGTGATTATACCCACTGTCCTGTTACTAATGTGAAGAGAATGAGGGCAAACAGAAGAGCTGAGACCAGCCACCCCCTGATTCCTCAATGGTGTCTCCACACCACAATCTACCTCTAACTCTGGCTAGTCCCAAACTGTGGTCGGACACACACCCAGCATGTTCATGGAGGTCTCCAAAAGCGTACCCAAAAACCTTCCCTTGAGGGTCAGCTTTGCAAAGCACTGCACATGGCTGCCCACCACCCAGCCCCCTACGACGTGCAGGTCTAACAAGCTCCCAGGCGATGCTATCACTGCTGCTCTGCAGGCCGCTGTAGAGGGCATATGTCTTATTCCTGAAAAGGGGGGTCTATTTACTCGCAAAGTCCCAGAATCAAACAAAGCGCACATACTCACCACTTGCCATGGTTGTGAGACAAATGATCACTTTTTGGCAGATGACAACTTCCACAAGTAGAACATGGCTATCAAGCACCTGGGAGCTGAAAGTTGACCTTCAGAGCTTTGCCTCTTAGTTGGTATATGTTCTTGGGCACATTCGTAACTTCTTTGCACCTCAGTTTCCTCATCTCTCTAATGGAAAGAAAAAAGCTATTGTGAGGATTGGCTGAGTCAGTAGACGTAAAGTCTATTTTTTTCAAAGAATCATTTATTTAATAGTATTATCACTTTTCAATTTTGAACAGAAAGTCACAGAGAGAAAGAGGGAAACTCAAACTGCAGACTCCCCTACGGGAATCTAGTGCTTTAACCACCATGCCACCTGCCGGCCCCGACATAAAGCCTATTCCTGTCTATAAAGCATAATGGACATCTGGCAGCATAGTAAGTGCTCCGTAAATGCCGCAGCTCTTAATGCTATATAGCATACCCTCTCGAACAGTTAACTTGGACATACAGAGAGGCTCATCCTCCTTTTGGTACACAGGCATGTAACCCCCACCTCCCTCCCGGTCGAAGGCCTATGTCCTGTCTTCCAAATTCCTCCCACCCTGCTGCCCACTCCCCCTTCCCTGCCCCTGGCCCCAGTGTGGTCTGGATGGGCCCCAGAGGGGCAGGGACAGGGACAGGACGTGGGGCTGTATCTGACAGGAACCTGAGGGGCTGGCCTGGGAGGGGATTGGGGCCCGGCTTCCTGAAGGGAGGATGGGCTAAGGCAGGCACACAGTGCCGGAGAAGATGCCCTCCTGGGCCCTTTTTCTGGTCACCTCCTGCCTGCTCCTGCCTCCTGAAAACCTAGCACAAGTCACCAGCCAAGGTGAGGTGTATAGAGGGTGGGGCTCACCTAAGCCCAGGAAGAGAGAGCCCTGGGAGGGGGTGCAGAGCCTGGGGGTGGGGGGGTAGACCAAGACCTCCCATGGTCCCCTACTCTTGCCCATAACCACACCTGGGAGGACCCAGAGCCCAACTTACCAGCTGTCCTTCAGATGTCTCCCTGCTGGCCTCGGACTCAGAACCCCTGAACTGTTTCTCCCAAACATTTGAGGACCTCACATGCTTCTGGGATGAAGAAGAGGCGGCTCCCAATGGGACCTACCAGCTGCTGTACGCCTACCCGGGGTAGGTGCAGGGCTAGGCGTGTACCACTCCCAACTCCATCCCCACCCTTGTCTTCAGTCCTATCAGAGCACTACTCCAAGTACATGCCCTAAGTGGCCACGTTATGAACAGGTGTGTGTGGACACCCGCTCAAGCCCTTCCGTAACACCTAATCCCACGTGCCCCGGGTAGTGAGAAGAAAAGTGGCATCAATGGAAATAGAGGAGGGGTGTGGGCCCAGGCCTGGGACCTCAGGGCTGAGCATGGTGGCCGTGTAGGTACGACCACTCCTGTGCCAACAGGGAGAAGCCTCGGGCCTGCCCCCTGAGTTTCCAGAGTGTGCCACCCTCTGGAACCCGATTCATATGCCAGTTTCCAGCCCAGGAGGAAGTGCGCCTCTTCCATCCACTGCACCTCTGGGTGAAGAACGTGCTCCTGAATGAGACACTGGCCCAGCGGGTGCTCTTTGTGGACAGAGTGGGTAAGGGCGTCTTCTTGTTACCTGCCCCTCCTTTGCTGCCTTCAGTCCAGCTACTAGAATCAGACCCATCTGTGCTCTTTCAGAACAAGAGAGATGCCCCCCATTTTCAGACCCTGAGAAGCACCTCAAGACTCTGCCCCTCTCATTGTTCCTCTGGGTCTTGGCATCCATAACTAGACTTAACCCACAGATCATTTCACAGCAGGGACACGCCGGCCCTCCCATCATTAACAAACTCATGTACTCACCCATGCAACAGTTACAGAATACCTACTGTGTGCCAGGCACAGTGCTAGGCAATGAGGAAACAGAGTTTACCACATCATTACACTACAGGGAGGTCACTGTTCTCACGAGGAAGAAACAGGATAAGGGACCTTCCTGTCCTGCCCTCTAGGACAACATGGCTTATGATCTTTTCAGACTTAGTGGCTGCCCCCCAGTTCAGCCTCCAGCACCCCTCTCTACAGTTCATGGGTAGAACCATTGACTGTGGCACTCAAGAGAGTTCCCGTGTGCCCTGTCTTGCCCTCAGGCCTGCCAGCTCCCCCTAGTGTCATCAAGGCCAAGGGCGGGAGCCAGCCAGGCGAACTTCAGATCAGCTGGGAGGCCCCAGCTCCTGGATTCAGTGACTTCCTGAGGCACCAACTCCGCTATGGTCTCAAGGATTCCAGGAACTCCACTGGTGTCACAGTCATGCAGCTACTCCCCACAGACACCTGCTGCCCATCTCTGCAGAGGCCAAACCCAGCCCCAGCTCTGAACCAGCCTCCATGTGCTCATCCCACAATGCCCCAGAGGGATGGACCAAAGAAGAACTCCCCAGCTAGAGAAGTATTCTGGCCTTTTTCTGCTCCACCTACCATTCCTTACCCCTCATTTTGCCTCAGGAAAGGACAGGTCATACTTTGGAGATTCTAGACTGGGTTGGTCCTTGAGAGTTCATTTAGACTCTGAGTAGCTCTTAGACGAAATGTCTATTTAGGGGCCTCCCACTTTGGACCATTCGCATTGACAAAACTGAGGACTTTCAGGTCTCCAGATTAACAGCAGTGTCCCTAAAAAGTCCTGATCACCACCTGAAAGCCACCAAACTTGCCCCCATTCGTGTGCATGGCTATCCAGTAATGGGTTAAGCTCCCCTCCACAGGATGCCATGGGACTACAAATATAAGAGATGGTGGACATTTTGGCTGAGAGTCAGGCCTAGATTCTGATGCTGGGGCTCTTCTCCCAAGGTTTCATCTCTGACCGCGATGGATGGAAGCTGTCTCATCTCAGGGCTTCAGCCTGGTAACTCCTACTGGCTCCAGCTGCGCAGCCAACCTGATGAGGTATCCCTCCTCGGCTCCTGGGGATCCTGGTCCTTCCCTGTGACTGTTGACCTGCCTGGGGATGCAGGTGAGTCAACAAAGGTGGGGAGAGGGAGAGAAGGTTAAGAAAGATCTCTAAGGAGGTGTGGGCAGTATATGGAGGAGCTGGGAACAATGGTTCTTCCTAATGACCTCAACTTGTGATTGCACAGGATGAACTATGCTCAAGGAAAGAAGAGAGCATAGGAGTAAATGTTCTGTTACGGGTGTAGACATAACCTGGTTACCCTATAGCATAGGGGCACGTGGCCCTGATGGGACTTACTTCTTTGACCTCAGTGGAAATTGGTCTGCAATGCTTTACCTTGGACCTGAAGAATGTTACCTGTCAGTGGCAGCAACAAGACCATGCTAGCTCCCAAGCTTTCTTCTACCACAGCAGAGCACGGTGCTGCCCCAGAGACAGGTGAGAGCTGAACTGCTGACTAAGTATGATGTCATGGGAGAAAGGCAGGAAGTAGAGATTTCTTCACTCTCCTCCCTTGTCCCAACCAGCCTCCATGCTCTATGACCTATTCGCCAATCCTCCAATGGGTATTTTATCTTCTCAGCCTCTCTCCATTCTTGCTGGGAATGCCTTGGTTTAGATCAATCTTTTCTTTTTTAAAGAAAGGTGTTTGCTATAGGGCACGTGAGCTGGCCAAAGAGACAGAGAGACAGAAAGTGAAAAAATAACTCCCACCTGGGGGAATGACCATGCCGCAACCCCTTCTCCATTCACCTCTAGGGATTTCGGGCATGCATGCACACGTGCCCGGCATGAGTTTTAAGCTGCTGAGTCCAGGAACTACGTTCGCCTACATGGAAGTCCAGTAAAGTAACCATTATACCATCTGCTAGTCCCACATTAAGATCAGTCTTGGGACCAGTAGTTGGATTAATGGCTATTAATTGCTGGACTCCCATGTAGTTGACCACAGTTTGCGTCCTGGACCCGGTGGCTTAAACTCAGACCGGGTGTGTGTGCATGCATGCCCAAGATCCCGAGAGGAGAATGGAGGAGAAGGGATTGTGGCGTGGCCATCCCTCCTGGGGGTTGATTTCTCGCTTTCTGTCTCTATGTCTCTCTCTGTCTTTCTGGCAAGTGCACACGCCCTATAGCAAAAACCTCTTCAAAAAAAAATAAATTGTAGGGAACCAGCAGTTAGCATAATGGCTATGTTGCTGGACTCCCACGTAGTCGACCGCAGTTCACATCCCAGACCCAGTGGCTTAAAACTCACGCCGGGTGCATGTGCATGCATGACCAAGATCCCGAGAGGAGAATGGAGGAGAAGGGATTGCGGCGTGACCATCCCCCCTGGGGGGTGATTTCTCACTTTCTGTTTCTATGTCTCTCTCTGTCTTTCTGGCAAGTGCACGCGCCCTATAGCAAAAACCTCTCCCCCCCCAAAAAAAAAATTGTATATATCAGTCTTAATCATGTGTCCTGGATCATTGATTGCTATAGCCTACAACCTAACCTTCATTTCATCCCACATACTGCTAAGAGTGACCTTTATTAAGCCCAAACCTTGCATGATCTCTGTAAAACTCTAATTTTGCATGGCTTTACCCTATTCAAGTACTACAACTTTCTATTATTTATCAAATCCATACAAAACTTAGCCTGGCCTTCAAGGACTCCCACCAAACACTGCACGGATCCTTCACCCTCCCCACATCCAATCTATAACCGAGTTTTGTTATTTTTACTTATTAAATATCTCTAGAATCCTTTCCCTTTTGTCTGGCACCGCTATCACCATTATCTTGGTACAATGATAATGTACTAAGTGCATCACTCACTTGGACTATTGAAAAGACCTATGAACTGATCACCTCTTGAATCTTCCAAGTTACTCTCCACATAGGAGCTGGAGTGATCTTCTAAAAGTGCAAAAATGAGAGCCAGCAGGTGTAATGGTTAAGGCACCAGACTCCCACATGGTTGACCATGGTTTGTATCCCAGACATGGTGGCTTGAAACTCATGTTGCATGCATGTACATATGTGCCCAAAATCCCAAAAGGAGAATGGAGGAGAAGGGATTGAGGCATGACCATCCCCTCTGAAGGGTGATTTCTTGCTTTCTGTCTCTCTCTCTCTCTCTGGTGAGCATATGTACCCTACAGCAAAAATCTAAAAAGGCAAAATTGAATGCTCTCTCCTTTAAGATCTTCAATAACTTCTTAGGATAAAGAAAAGAATACTCTCATGACCTTATAAAGTTCAAAAAGACTCAACTCCCATGCCTTCAGCTTCATCTTACACTAAGCCGCCCTTTGCTTTCCATCATCCCTTCAAATCTGTCACATTCCTTCCAGTCTCTGGTGTTTGCACGTGCTGTTGACCCAGACGCTCTCATCCTTACTTCTTTTCCTTCATATCTCAAATCAAATGTTCCTTCCTCACGGCGGTCACTTGACCATCTTTATTAGATCCGAGAGCACCATTACACTTTTATTGTGCCCTGTACCCCTCTTTAAGTACTTTCCATAGTTACATTTAACATTCACACATTATGTGATTGTTTAACAAAAAAAATTCTCACTTAAAATTCGAGTTGAGTAAAGCTGATCTTGACTCTGTATGACCCAGGAGAGCAAAGTCAATGTCTAGTTTAACTCACTAATAAATCCTCACCTACCACAGTGCGTGCAACATAGAAGGTGCTTGGTAAAACTTTGATGAATGCATGAATAATGAAAAAAAAACCACTATTAATGGTTTTAATGTATCCTTTCAGTGTTTTCTGTGCATTTACACATTCCTATATATGATGTTTGGTTTTTATTTATTTATTTATTTATTTATTTATTTAATTCCTGTTGCTATTATTGTTATTATTTTAATCTGACCAGAGAGAGACAAAGAGAAAGGGAAAGGAAGAAAACAAGCCACCGAGTCCAGGACTCAACCCATGGTTGGCCATGTGGGAATCCAGTGCTTTTAACCACCACGTCACCTGCCAGCCCCATGATGTTTAATTTTTAAATATAACACATTATATACATGTTTTGTTAAGTCACCTTTTTGCTTAGAATGCGTGTTACAGATCAGTACAAAAAAAGGTAACTCAGCGCCAGCAAGTGGTGTAGTGGTTAAGGTGCTGGATTTCCACATGGCTGACCACAGTTCAAGTCTCAGACCCGGTGGCCTCAAAATCACACCGGGATGCATACATGCCCCATATCTAGGAGAATGAAGAAGAAAGGATTGCAGTGTGGCCACCCCCCGTGAGGGGTGATTTCTCACTAAGCTGCCCTTTGCTTTCCATGCTCCTTCAAATCTGTCACATTCCTTCCTGTCTCTGGGTGTTTGTACGTACTGTTGACCCAGATGCTCTCATCTTTACTTCTACTTCTCCTTCATATCTCAAATCAAGTGTTCCTTCTGTCTTTCCCTCTGCCTGCCTCTCTCCAGTGAGTGCACAAGCCCTATGGCAAAAACTTCAAAAAAATAAAAGAGGTAAACTCCTACTAATAACTGCACAGATTTCCCTAGTAGAAAGATGCCATGATGGATTAAATGGTGGCAAAACTGAAGTCAGCATTTCCTCTACCAAAACTTGCTCTTTCTCTCCTATCATAAACTTAGCCTGAAAGATAGAAATTGCCCTGGACTCCTCCTATTCCTATACCCTCCAGGACCAACCAGAAACACTCTTGTCATTTTTACCCATTCAAAACCTCCTGAATCATCCCTTTCCCTCTATCCCCACGGCCACCATCCTATTTCCAGACACTCAACCTTCTGCACATAAAAAACCACAACAGCATCCTAATGGACCTCTCTGCTTCTAGTCTCCTTCCATAAGTTCTTCCTGTAAACCTCAATTAGAGCGATCTTCTAAAGTATTGGGTCATCGGAAAGGTCATGATGCATTTTTGCATAGAGAAAATACATGATGACTTTTCCAATGACCCAATACAAAGCTAATTATGACACTCCTCTGTTTAAAATGTTTAAATATCTCCATAATTACTGCAAGATTAAGTTCAAGCTCCTTAGATGGCCACAAGGCCACTAAGCCACGGGCTGCAGTCTCACACTTACACCATTTACCACCAGAATGAAACCCTTCTGCACCACTTGGAATTTCCCCCCAAGTACCACACTTTCTTATCTGTGCATAAGCATGCGCCTGGGATGCCTATTTGTGCCCTTTGCCTCTCCTATTTATAGTCCAGGACTCGGTCTACACACTGCCTTATCCAAGAAGCATTCCTGACCCTCTCAGTCTGGGTTAGATGTTCCTTCTGATGCTTCCGAGCCTGCCTGTGCACATCACAGAAAAATACATTTGTTTTTCCTGTCTAAAATGAGAGTTCTTTGAAGATTATTTCCATGTGTACTCATAGGGTCTAGCACCATGCCTGCCACCTCGTAGCAATTATTTGTTGAATAGATGTTTAGGTAAACATATAAATACATAAAACGATAATTTAGTGATGGTGAGCCACTTAGGGGTTATAATCAGGTAGGGGGCATGATTCATTTGCTCCAAAGTAATGACCAAAAGTGACTATGTGCCAGGCACTGGGGATAGAGTGACAAAATAGAAAAGATTCCAGCACTGTTGGATCTTAGATTTTAGTAGGGAGGGAGGGGTGGGAGAAGATAAATGATTAAAAAAGTAAAGAAACAAGGTGGGACCAGCAGTTGGCATAATGGCTGACTTTCCCAACAACCCAATATTATAGCACCACATTTACCTGTTGTTACCTGTGCGGTTTTGCACAGAAAAAATACATCCTGACTTTCCTGACATACTAGACCACGGTTCGAGTCACAGGCCTGGTGGCTTAAACTCACCCTGGGTGTGTGTGCGTGCATGCCCAGGATCCCAAGAGGAGAACAGAGAAGGGATTGCGGCGTGGCCATCCCCCCCTAGGGGGTGATTTCTCGCATTCTATCTCTCTGTCTCTCTCTGTTTTTTCTGGCAAGCGCACACACCCTATAGCAATAAAAAAAAAAAAACTCTCAAAAAAAAAAAAAAAAAAAAAGAAATAAACAATGATAGACACTAAGGTGGGGGTGGAGAGGTGTCAATTTAGATGACTGGTCAGGAAAGACCTTACCAGGGAGATCACTGATGAACTGAGATCAAAAGAGCAAGAAGGATGGGACCAGCAGTTAGCGTAAAGGCTATGTCGCTAGACTCCCATGTAGTCAACCATGGTTCGCATCCTGGACCTGGTGGCTTGAAACTCACGCCAGGCACATGTGCGTGCATGCCCAAGATCCCAAGAGGAGAATGGAGGAGAAGGGATTGCGGCGTGGTCATCCCCCCTGGGGGGGTGATTTCTCACTTTCTGTCTCCCTGTCTCTGTCTTTCTGGCGAGTGCACACGCCCTCTCAAAAACCTCTCAAAAAAAAAAAAAAAAGAGCAAGAAGGATATGCTGTCCCTGTGTCCTAGTAGTCAAGGGACCCAGATCCCACATGGCCAACCAGGCAGTTCAAGTCCCAGACCCATCACCTTGAAAAACATGTGTACGTGCTCACTCAAAATTCTGACAGGATAGAGAAATGGAAGAGAAGAGATTGTGTGTGACCATTTAGAAAGCACCCAATTAGGGGCTGGCAGGTGGTGTGGTGGTTAAGGTGCTGGACTCCCACATGGTTGACCATGGTTTGAGTCCTGGACCTGACAGCTTGCCTTCTCACTTTCTCTCTCTCTCTCTCTGGTCAAATTGAAGAATAATAATAAATAAACAAAATAATTCTAAAGGAAAAAAGAAACCCCCAAATAAGGAGTGATTTCTTACTCTTTCAGTCGTTGTCAAGCACATGTGCCTTTTGGCAATTTTTTTTTTTTTAAATACCAGTAAGGATGGAGTCATGTGAAGACCTAGAGTTAGAGCAAAACAGGACAAAGGCAAAGTGCAAAGACTGCGCTTGACATAGTTGTGGCGCAGAAAAAATGACTCTCTGGACGAAGGGTGACAAACTGGCTTGAGAATCATAGGAGACAAGAACAGCGAGGTAAGAAAGAACCAAACTGTAGAGTTCTATTCGCCTCCGTGTGGGGCTCAGATTTTATTCCAAGTAGGATGAGGAACAACTGGAGGATTTTCAGTAAAAGAGTGACATGATATGATTTACATTTTTAAACATATGAAAAGATACTTGAAATGATAAACAAGAGTAGAAGCAGGATTACCCATTAGAACTTCGCCTTAATACAGGCAAGAGAGAATGTAGTCTTAGCTAATGTGGCAGTCGTGAAGATCAAAATAAAGAGACAAATTTGTGACATACCCTGCACATTATCAGATCAATATTCTTGAGAGCAAATTCTGGTAGCTATGAGGAGAACAAATTGAAGGCCGAGGTAAAAATGGAGGCAGAAAGCAAGGCTGTGGTAATCATGAAATATTGAAATAACAACAGGTAAATGTGGTGCTATAATATTGGGTTGTTGGGAAAGTCAGGATGCGTTTTTGCACAGAAAAAAATACATCCTGACTTTCCTGACAACCTAAAATATGAGAACGAATTAAAAACATAAGAATGAGCCAACTCTATGACCTGGTAGTGGTTAAGGTAGCTGGACCCCACATGGCCAACTGCTCGATTCAAGTCCCAGACCCAGTGCCTTGAGAAACACTCTGGGCATGTGTGCATGTGTCCCCAAAATCCCCAAAGGAAGGAGAGATGGGTAAGAAGGGATTGTGGTATGACCATTCCCTACAGGGGGGTTATTTTTCTTCTCCTTCTCTCTTTGTCTCTCTTCAGTGAGTGCATATACCCTCTAGCACAAACAAACCAACAATCGAAAACCCTTGAGATAAAGACATATTTATCTATAGATATAGATATGCTGTTTTTCTCCAGAATTCTGAAAGCTCTTTATTTTTTTTAAACAATCCTATGAGGTAGGTAGCATTACCCATTTTACAAATGGCAGGAAACTGGGGCAGAATAGATCAAGTAACTTGCCCAGCTTATACAGCAGTCTAGACACGAACTCTTCAGTCCGTGCTATTGTCACATAACATGTTAGCTCTTTCCTCATAGGAAAGAGTCTAGATACCAGAGCAGACTTTGGAAAGCAAAACATCATGGCATAAAGATAGAGAAAAGCTCTAGAGGCCCATCCAAAGGAAGAATCAGATTATAGTCCAAGTGGGCCATTGTTCCTGTGGGACAGAAAGTACTGGGATTAGTGCCCAGGCCAGGTCTGAGTTCAATGACTATGGGGCTGGTTCTTAGGGACCCTATCTGGGAGAAGTGTGAAGAAGAGAAAACAAATCCAGAATTACAGAACTTCCCATTCTCTCGCTGCCACTTCAAGTCACGGAATGACAGCGCTATTCACATCCTCGTGGAGGTGACCACAGCCCATGGTGCTGTCCACAGCTACCTGGGCTCCCCTTTCTGGATTCACCAGGCTGGTAAGAACGTTCTCCCCATCCCTCTGACAGTTCTCACACCCACCAAGTCTGATCCCATGCCCTGGATCCCCTACTCTGACACTTTGAACCCATCTCCCTGGTGGCCTGATGGCCTCTTACACAGAAGGGCTAAAGCCAGTCCCTGTTGACATCCCTGTAGTGCTCATCCCCACCCCAAACCTGCACTGGAGGGAGGTCTCCAGTGGGCAGCTGGAGTTGGAGTGGCAGCACCCATCATCCTGGGCAGCCCAAGAGACCTGCTATCAGCTTCGATACACAGGAGAAGGCCATCAGGACTGGAAGGTAAGGTCTAGCAACAGACACCCGCAGCCCTCACCACGCAGGCTATTCCTGAAGTTTACCATCTGATATTAGAAGTACAGGTGTCCACATCTCCACATCTGGGCTTTTATATCTATGCTTATCTGAGTCAACTCTTGGACATCTGGCACTGATATCTACTTCTGCACGAAATTTTCTCTTCCCTTTTTCTTGGGCTTCAGTTCTCCTCTGATTTTCTTCCTACCTCTTTCCC